GAAGTGGCCTTTACCTAAAGAGAAAGGATCTTTGAGGCTGGTGACTGCTTTGTAGGCCAGGTACGCTGGTGGTTATGTTTCCTTCCTTCTCCAGTTCAGATGCTTCTGCTGCTTCTAATGACAGGCCCGTGGTCAGCGTCCCCATGAGCAGTGATCCCAGACCTTGCCCGTGCACAGCAGAACCTGAGCAGCACCGAGCTCTGAAATGAGCAGCCTTCACGTGCCTACAAAAGAAACACTCTTTCTACAAGCGTTTTCTTAATCATTACTTCCTATATAATTAACTACAAAATTTTTCTCTTCTCTTTAAGGCAAAGGTTATTTATGAGCAAGTTGGTTTGGGTTGTGTTGTTGGTGTGGTGGTTTTTTGGTTGTTTTTTTTTTTTTTTTTTTTTGTTAGGAGAAAAAGGGAGGGAAAAAAAGAGTGATTGAGAATCTGCTGCTGCTGCTGGGGTTGCATCATTTATTGAGAGCTTTGCCTCTCTGCCTTGCTACAGTGTGTATTGCAAACCTCACCGCCGCCTTGCACAGGAGGTGAAATCCTGCCCTGCTGAAGGGCTGGTGAGAGCTTTGCCGGAGCTCCGGCTCTGCTGGGGAGCTGGCGTTGGTGTGCATGCCCCAACCGCTCGTGGGGAGCAGTGCCCGGTGGTGTCACCTCTGAGGGGTCAGTGTCCACTGAGCACGGACCTCCTGGCTGGAGGCTTTGCAGGCTGGGCAGGATCAGTCCTGCCCATCCTGCCGGGTCTGCGGATGTGTTGGTGCAGCTGCGGCCCTGAACAGGAGCAAGCAGAGTTTCAGAGGGGTCTTCCTGCTCCCGGCCCTCTATTTCAGATCGACCTGCTTTAGCTGCATGGCTCCAATCAGAGTAACGCCGCTGCAAAGCCTCAGGTTCCTAGATGGTTGATTTTTAAGACAAAAAAAAAAAAAAAAAAAAAAGACCCTGGTGAACGTAGACATCTTAGCAATCAACCTCCGCTCCTTCCTGGTCTGCCTGGAGAGAGCTCTGGTTCATGATGTAACTCACTGGTCTCTTGGGTTTGGTAAGCTGCAATATGTTGGAGTTTTGCTGTGCATGTATTGTCTTTGCCTATAAAACCTGTTTGGACCTTTGTGAAGGGTACCCGAATGGCTGATGAAAATGCCAACAAGGAGGTTGAGAAAGCTTTCTGTGTTTCCCAGCTTTGCTCTTTTTCTCTTCTTTTTTTTTTTTTTTTTTTTGGGGTGGGGGTTTTTTTTTTTTTTTTTTTTTTTTTTTTAAGGCACACATTTCTAAAAAAACTAGTCATCGTCTGTTTGGAAATGCTGCAGAGCCTTTCCTTGGCCAGACTGACTCGTCTTCCATCCCCTCCAAAGATCTTATGGAGGAGAGGAAGCCTGTTTTCTTGTAAACAGAGGTGGAGAGGAAAAACTAACCCAGCACTAGCTCCTCTGCTTGGATCCTCATGGCTTTTAAAGCACTTTCAAAGACCTAATCAATCTTTCTTAAGATGCAATAATTTTTTTCTCCCCTTGAAACTTGAAAATAAAAGGGTGTGTGGGAGATAATGCTTCACTGCTGGTGGTGTGTACTCTTTATGGAGGCTCTTCAGCCACGGAAGGTTAATAATCGGTCTGGGGTCGGCGAGGGAATGGAGGCGAACGGCTGCGGGAAAGGGGGGAAGGAGGAGAAAAAAAAAAAATGGAGCGAGTGAGACTTTTATTGTGAAGCAGCCTGTGCTTGGCAGTTGGCTTTTGTTGGGACTGCTGCAAGAGCAGACATTTCTCGGCGGGGAGGGTGGGTATAGGATTTCCCTGCCAATCGGGAGCCGACGGATTGGGGCATGGGGAGTGTGAGCAGAAAGGGAAGTTTGCTCTGAATTTAAGGGAGGGGAGGGGGAAAAAAACCCAACACACACACAAAAAAATGGAGGTATTGACACTTGCGGTGAAGTTGCTGCTAAGTTGGCTGGGTGGAGCCGTGGGCCGGTGGGAATGAATGGGCAGCGCTGCCCGGCTGGCGGGGGGCGCGCTGGCGGTGGGCGCCCGTGGGTGCCCGTCGGTCCTGGGTGCCGGCTGCTGCATCTGCCGGGTGCTGGTGGAGCAAGGAGGGGAGAGCGCTGGCCTGGGGTGAAGAGGCTTCGAGCTCTTCACAAGGGTTTCCTGTAGCTTCCTTTTGATTGAAATGCTTCAAAATTCGCAGTTGGGTTCTTTTTCTTTAATTATTATTTTATTTTCTACCATTGTGCTGAGTTTTTGTTTGTTTCAGAGCAAGGCATGGAAGTTGTAAAGCTGCTGCCGCTGCTAGCGAGGGATGTGTCTCTGAGATAAGGAACCAGGAGAGCCCCTGAGGTGCCACCTCAGTTAGCCTTGCCTTGGCACCCAGCTTTTTGTCACTCTCACAGGAAAAAGCGATGTTTTCTCTCTGGCTTCTCTCGGCGCTGGAAATTCTGCTTTGAGAGTTCCTGCCGCTGGCCAGGACCCGGGGCAGCCCTGAGCTCCTGGTAATTGCAGTGAGGAGGGAGGGTGATCGTTAGCTACTGAGGTCTGATTGACTCCAGGGTTCCTGCAGTGACTTTTCTTCAGGCATCATGGGCTGAGCAGCAGCAACGCCTCTGTGGAAGGGAGAGCATGGTGATTTGTGGAGTGTGGTAGCTGCTTATAAAATAACGAAAAACTGAGAAACAAATGGGTAAAAGTGACCTGTGGGAAATCCTGGGGCTTCCAGTATGAGTCAGTTTAATAGCAGGAATATCAAGACCTTTCCTTGTTGCAACAAAGGTTGGGAAAACAAGCTAGTCCCTGTTAGAAAGACTGAGGCTCTTTATCTGCTGCCAGTGTCTGTGGCGAGGGCCTGGGGGCCCCTTCCCCTCGGTGGGAGCCATGGGGCTGCGCTTGAGCCCCGCCTCTCATCAGTTCTCTTTGCGTTAGTCTTGCAGCAGGGTAAATCCATGAGAAAAATGAAGTTATTCCCAGTTTACCAGAAGTCTGGGTAGAGCAGAAGTAGGGTTTACAAGCAGACGTTTACAGTAAGGATATATATTATTGGCTTAGCAAATAAATAAATAAATAAATAAATAAAAGGCTGATCTGTGGTTAAACTTTGGTTTGTATTTTTATGATTGTTTCTTGATGGAATCTGTTGGCCAGTGTATGCTGGAGGTATGTTCTGTTTCAGGCTATCTGATTCGTTGGCTGAGCTGAGGTTTTAAACACTTAATGGCTTTTTGGTGTGTGTCTTAAAATCTGAAGGTGGTGTGCTTGGGGCGCAAGTTCCCTGTTGCTGAGAGCATCTAGACGTGGCTGTGTTCGGTGTTCACTTGTGCTTGGGGGCAGGCAGCCACCCACAACCACCTTCCTCCTTGCTAGAGGAGCAATCCTTGAAGGTGCCCTTAGCTCCGCTTGGCTGAGCCTGGCAGGTGATGGAGGCTTTCCCAAGAACCTGTACCCAGCCGGCATCCCTTGAGTTTCCTCCTTCCCATCAGCTGTCTGCTTTGCAGTTAGTGGCGTTTAGGTGCAGGGCAAGGTGGTCCTGCAGGCACCAAGGGGCAGGGACCCAGTGTTGGATGAGCCCTCCCTGGCTGCATGGGGCAGGGGGCTGCTGAAATCAGGGTGAAAGAAGACGACCCTGTGCTGCAATACCTGCCGGCACCTGGCATTGCAGCTGAGTTCACATGGAAACAAAAGTGACAGGGTGGCTTGTAATAGCAATAGCAGCGCCAAAGCTCATCTTCCCTGCTAGCTTCGGACAGAAACCAATGTGGGGAAGGGCAAGCTGCTGCTGGGCACGGTTTTGGAGCTGATACACTGGGCTTCGTGTGTGCGTCTTATCTCTTTCGCTTGCTTTATGGGAGATGGGCAGGTTGGTTTTTTTTCTTTCTTTATCACTCAGTGCGCTTTAAACCTTGTGATTTGCATGGCTGCAGGCGCCATCTGCTCTCCGTGCTGGCCTACAGCAGTTGGCTTGACCTGGGCTTATTCTTCTCCTGCGGCGCAGGCAGTGTGCGGTGAACCCTTCACCCGGCCTGGCCACGGCCCCGAAGGCGGACATCGCTGCCTCCCTGATCACACGGCAGCTTTGCAAGGCAGTCGCCATCTTTACCTTTCAGACCAGCTTGTCTCCTTAAACACAGAGCTGTGTCAAAGGACCCCTTCTCTTGTGTGTTTGAGGTTTTTTAATACCTTTTTCCTTTTGTTTTGTTTTTGGTAGCTTTTTTTTGTCTTGTCACTTTAAAAAAAAAAAAAAAAAGAGAAAGAGAAGGTATTAAGGTTGCAGACCTGATATAGCAACGTGACTCCAGCCTTGTGAAAGGCAGAGGAGACGACCAGGTGTTCACTTTTTACAAAAAAATAAAAAAAAGAGAGGGGGGGGAAAAGAAAAATTATTTTCTGTAGAATGAAAAATAGAGCTCATTAACTTGAATATACATGGATGTTATGAATGATGAGTTAGCTGTAGCTCACTGATGGTTTGCATTTTATAAGTTACATTTCAATGAACGACAAAAAACCAAAACCACCAAAAGCATACTTGGGCTGTAAATGTCAATAAATTATGCGTAATGAGAAGTTTGATAGAACTGCCTCCCCCCACCCAAAACCTAAGAAGTTTGGGGGGGAATAAGGGTCACCTCCTTGAGATGCCTCTCGTGACCATTTTAATCCATACCTGTACAGGCACACTTAGCTGGATTCCCAAGCATGTTACGCTCAGAAAAACTGGCTTCATCTTAACCAAAGATCTGTGAGGTCTCAGCCCTGGGCGCAGCTCGAAGCCTTTCCACTTCTCGGGTGAGACAGGCTGTCAGCTGGGTCAAGCCTTGCCGTTTTTTATCTTTGACCTGTGCCTTGGTGGCAGTTTCCTGGCAGCGTTATTTTGCAGAATGAGGTTTCCCCGTGATGTAAACAGGATGTGTCCATGATTGTCTCTTCTTTTAAATGCAGTGTTTGTATGAACATTGAGCTAAACCGTGATATTTTTTTTTTTCTTTCCCACCCTGTCCCTTCTCTCCCCACCCCTAGCGAACAGTGCTGAGTAAGGGAGAGATAAGGAAGGACGCCTGCATGAAGACTGAGCTGCTGAAAGATATCACCAACAACAAAGAGGAAGGTGAGCACCTGCCTCGGTTGAGGGCCAGACCTTGCTCGTGAGGTCGGCACGTGATGGGTACAAAACTAGGGGCTTGGAGATGTGCTCTGTCCCCCAAGCATCTCTGGTGTGGTCCCATGAACAGAGCGGCTCCATTCGCCTCCTGTGTTTATTCTGAGCAGGGCTCTTCCCCGGAAGATGCAGATTTGCTTTTCAGTCCATCCATCTCCACCCACCTGAAGAGTTATATCTTATTTTCACTTCTGCTTTGGTGTGGCTGTGAAACGCAAAGGAGTTACTTTGAACCTCCTCTGTGTGACTGGTTTTAACTGAACTCTGATCCCTGCCACATGATGACCTAGCCCTTTTTCTCCCTCTATTAAAGTTAACTTTCTGTTTTCCTATGAGTTTCTCTGTTGCTCCAGAACAGGTACCAGTTGCTGCAGGATGGCCGGTGGGGTTAGACACTCCACACTTCATGCCGTTTTGGGATGCTTCATGGCTTCTGCATTGTTTCTGCTTGCTTTTTACTTTGCAGGATGCAGTGCACATGTTAATTTGACAAAGTCTTTCCTGCGTGGTTGTCTGTGAGTTGCATGCATGCAAACCTGAGGGCTTAAGAAATGTGTCAGTGGGATTAGGGAAACACCCCCCCCAGCCCTTT